CTCATATATGTGTAGTTCAATTAATGCAAATTATCTTTGTGCATTTCAATATGGCCTGAGGCATCACACCTCATAAGTATCTGACATGAGTGAATTAATCTGACTTAATTAATAGTGTGGCAATAAAGTTTGCCTGTTGAATTTTATATCTCATGGGATTACAGAAATATTTGGCCAGATTAACAGTTTCTGTATCATCTGCCCGCAATGGCCAGCTGAGGCTGACACTCTCATTTTTTTTATTCCTTGTCATTCCTCAATTCAGTTATAAGGACAGGAAAGGTGAATACACAAGCTACTCTCAATCAGAACAAAACACATTGCTCTTGCATTTAAAGAGATATGTGAAGTGCACATACGGGTCTTATCTTCCAGATGACCAAAATACCGGTATATTAAAGCATAGCGGTTTCCTTCTATTATCAAAAACATATTGTTAATTTCAATTTGGGGGGAGAGGAATACCGATTGTCTATAACATTCAGATATTTCATCTTTGATTCAGTGATGGGAAAGAGAGTGCCACAGTATATGCATTATAGTCACTGATAAAATAAAGTGATGATCAAAATGAAAGGTTTCAAGAACTTATCAAAAGCTGAGATTGTTTCTACCCTATTTTCAAGCCAACAAGTTAGACTATTATGGTTTCACGGGTGATGGTAGAAGATGCATGACTTGTATGTCAGACATAAAGGACTTTATTATTCATGGTGCAGCAAGCAGAATAGTTATCAGCAGATTGGTGTGAGTTCCCTTTATTCCAAAGCCCCGTGGACGTGACTGGGATGGGCACATATGGATGCCTTCACAAACACGAGTTGCATTACAGCAGAGGAATCCTGAAACCCAAATATTTTATGATGGGCAACAAGCAGGCCCGCCCTTTACACTGAAGAGATACTCCATCTCTTCTTCTAAATGTCGTTTCTATACAAACATTCTTGTAATAATACTTCAGAATAAAAGGCAATAAGTGTCTCACTGTAAGACATGCAGAAATGTGAGGGATCCAAGGAGAATTGTCTCCCCCAGAAAAGGTCCTGAAAAGTCATAATTTGGTAGTGTTTAATAAACAAACACATATAAGATGAACAAGATAGTATGCAAATATGACCACAAATTATTATCCTTTCTGGGTTCCGGGCTATTGCTCTTATTGGGATTCAATATTGATTTATACTACCATACTGTAAAGCATGTTTTCAGCTAGTCATGTATGATGGTTAATTTTATGAGTCAATTTGGGTAGGTCACAGTACACATATATTTGGTTAAACATCAGCCTAGATATTGATATGAAAGTATTCTTTAAATGACATTAACATTTAAATCAGTACATTTTGAATAAAGCAGATTCACCTCCATAATATTGGTTGGTCTCATCCAATCAGTTGAAGGGATTAAGAGAAAACAAGACTGAGGTCCCCTGAGGAAGAAGGAAGTGGTTTCTAGACTATCTTTAAACTGGAGCTGCCATGTCAGCATTTCCCTTGGTCTGCTGCCTGCTGATCTACCCTGCAGATTTTGGAGTTACCATCCTCCATATTTGTGTGAGCCAATTCTTTAAAATATATCTCTGTTTCTTTCTCTCTCTTTAGGTACACATCCTATTGGTTCTATTTCTCTGGAGAACCCTAACTAATACATCATCGCCATGCTGGTCATTTGAAAATGATGTTGCTGAACAGTCTGAGCAGAAGAGGTACACTCTCCACATTCATTCTTTGCACGTGCACACTGCCCAAGGTATGTTCAATTGAGGG